GTTTTTTGGGGGGGGGGCACATTCCAAGATTTTGGCAAGTGGTCAAGAGCTACATTTCTACGGGGGGGGGTGGGGGGCTGGGACAGAGGTTGGGTGCAGAAGGAAGCTTGGGGTAGGGGGCTGTGGTGCAGGAGGAACTGTGGGGTCTGAGAGGGAGTTTGGGTGAAGGAGGGGGTTGTGATCTGGGGAAGAGCCTTGGGGTGCAGAGTCCACAAGGAGATATGGGTGCAGGAGAGGATTCTGGCTTGGGGGAAGGGTTGTAGGAGGTGACGCAGGGTCTGGGAGGGAGTTGTGGCCTAGATGTAAGGGGGGGGTGCAGAGGGCTTGGGTAGTGACCGGGGGCGGGAAAATAGAGTGCAGGATCAGGGAGGGAGTGTGGGTACTAGAGAGGATTCTGGGAGAGGGATGTAAGAGGGGGTACAGGGTCTGGGACAGAGTTGTGACCTGGGGGAAAGAGGTACAGAGAGTTTGGGTGGCAGCCTGGGGCAAGTAGTTGGTGGGAGGGGGAAGAGGGTTAGTGCCAGAGGCAGGCTGTGGCTATGAGGTACTTACCTAGGTGGCTCCCAGCCAGCAGCCCTGCAGGAACCTGAAAGCTGTAGTTGCAAGCTGCTCCATAAGGCTCTTCTCCGGGCAGGAGGCTTCATTGGCTGCCCATGCTGCCAGCAAAATTTCTCATCCCGTATTGGCCAGAAACTGGCCAATGGGAGCAGAGAGATTCTGCTGGAAGGTGGGACAGAGCACAAAGCATTTAAAGTGGTGGCAGCTACACTGTGATTAAGGGTCCGAGCAAGGCAGCTGTGGGCTGGATCTTGTGGCTTGGCAGGCCAGAACCAGCCCACTAGCCGCCTCTTGCCCACCTAACCTAGAACTAGGGTTTGTTGAAGTGTTACACCAGCTTTTGACAGACAGGTGCAGAAAGAATATTTTATTCATTTCAGTTGTTAGTATGACTAATTCATACAAAGTTAAGAAACCAGCTGGAAGTTGAAAGCAAAACGTTTGTTTTTCTTTTGTAATTCATCAATAAGTGTAAGGGGCCAGGGGGAGATCTACTAATTATAAAATCTTGGACATGGTAACAACCAGAAAGAATTCAGTTCAATTAACTATAGGTAATGCTTTCATTGATAAATCATTAAATGCAAAAATTGTTTATACATTTTGTCTTGTATATCCAGCATATTTTAAGGTACTTTTAACAACAAAAAAAATTTACATTTTTATTATGTTTTTAATTAAATTCCAATTTCCATCCAATTAATACCAGTAATAATATAACAAACACTTGGTCCTTATATAGCACTTATCTTCTATATCTGAAAACACTTTACATAAAGGTCACAGTATCACTATCCCCATTTTATAGATGAGGAAACAGGGACACAGAAAAGTGACTCGCCCATGGTGTCACAGACCTGTGGAAGAACCAAGGATGAGGAAACAGGGACACAGAAAAGTGTCTCGCCCATGGTCACACAGACCTGTGGAAGAACCAACAATCAAACTCATTTCCTAGGCCCCCCCATCTAGTTATCTAACCACTGAGCTATATCTACCCCCCCCCCCAAAAAAACAACCCCAATCAATCTAAATGTTTCATTAATCATTCCCTAACAAAAATAGAAAAAAATAAAAACCTGATTAAATGTATGCTAAGCTACATAACTGCTTAAATAAAATAATGTAAATCAAATAGAAGAATGAAGAAACCTCAAGAAGTCATCTAATCCCCTGTATTCAAGGCACAATTATGACCTAGTCTACACTAGATGTGGAAGGTCAGGTTAAGATGCACAACTCCAACTACATCATCATCATCCCCCTCCTGAGCTGGAGTGGGCTTATCTTAAGCTGAACTTAGTGACATCTTTATAGCAGGAGGCTAATGGGAATAAATGCTCCCATTGGCTTCCCTTACTCCTCACAGGAGGAATACTGGTGCCAACCAAAGCCACCCTCAGCTTCCGACTCAACAGATCTTAACTAGACCTTCTAATTTCAACGCCAGAAGATTAATCTTTGGCATGGCAAGTAAAGATGTGGCCTAAGTATGGTCTTCTTTGGCATGGCAAGTAAAGATGTGGCCTAAGTATTGTCTTCTAGACCATTCCTGGCAGATGTTTTTCTAACTTGTTCTTAAGGTCTCCAAGGATGGCAATTCCACAGCCTCCCAGGGCAATTTACTGCAAAGCTAACCATCCTAATATTTTGGAAATTTTTCATTAATGCATAATCTAAACTGCCTTTGTTGCAATTTAAGCCCACTGCTTCTTGTCCTATCCTCAGAGATTTTAAGAGCAAAAATTTCCACCCACCACCTTATAAAAGTAGTTGAAAACTTTTTTTCTTCCCCACTTCAATATTCTCTTCTCCAGACTAAAGAAACCCAATTTCTTCAATCTTCCCACATAGGTCATGTTTTCTAGATCTTTAATCATTTTTATTGCTCTCCTCTGGACTTTCTCCAACTTGTCCACATCTTTCCTGAAATGTGGCACCCAGAACTGGTCACAATACTCCACTTGAGGCTTACTCAGCATGGAACAGAGCAGATGAATTACAGGTTGAACCTCTCTAGTCCAGCATTCTCTAATCCAGCAACATTCACAGTCCAGCATAGTTCCTCCCAAGTGAAGTATTTTGCATTTGTCCTTGTTGAATATCATCTTATTATCTCAGGACTATTTCTCCAACTTTTCTCAATCATTTTGAATTTTAATCCTACCCTCCACTGGCAACTCTCCCAGTTTGCTATCCCCTGCAAACTAATAAGTGTACTCACTGTGCCATTAAATATCATGTATCTTCCTGGTTAGTGAAAAGCGATACCACATTATACCAACCAATGAGAATCGACCTTCCTTTAGAAAAATCATGTAAAAGTACAAATGCAAAACAAGATTAAAACTGAATATTTAAAAAAAAAAAGTTTCTTACTTGCCAATTTTAAAAAGTCCACCCTGACTGCTTATGAAGAATTCACAACAAGTAAAAGAGTGATAGGACTGGAAAAATCAGTTGTGTGTGTGCATCAGAAAACTAAGACAAACATGTGATAAGTCAACTGTTTACCTACCAATGCTTCATTTTTTACCATTGCTTGAAGCCAATTGAAATCAACACTTTTAAATAAGACAACAACGAACAAGCTGTCAGGGTAATATTCATTTTCAGAAAGTGGGGCTCCTTCTGGATAGGTCATCCTTATGGTAGTTTTGTTACCAACATGATCTGTGTAGCCCTGAACTGGTGCATTATTTAATCTAAAATAATAAGAAAAGAAATAAAGTTAAAAGAAACACATTAAATTAAGCCTAGTTAGTGTATGATGTCATTCAAATACCACACAAGTGATTTTTAATACCCAAAGTAACAAGCTGCAGTTGATTCACCAAATTTTATTTGAACATAACACATCAATAAATTACTCTCTTGGTAACAAGAACAGACCTCAGTGCGTGACCATAATCTGAGAAGCAACCATACAAATACAATTGGAGTCTTCGTGATTCTTGTTGCCTATAACTCAATTAGAGCTCTGAGGGGCAAATGTCAAGCTTCCTTCACATCACTACAAGAAATATCAGGCTCTTCAAGTCAAAATTATGCTTTCAATGGAATCCCAAAGGTTTGCAGCATTCTAACTGACTGGAATTTAGAAGACAAGGTGAATGAGGTATTACCTTCTCTTGGATCAACTTCTGTTGGTGACAGACAAGTTTTCAAGCTTACAAAGAGCTTTTCTTTAGGTCTGGGAGATTAACTCCAACCATGTGTATACTACAAAATTAAATTGACCTAACTTACACCTGCATCCAGGTGCTGCAGTAATTACACCACTTGTGTGTATCTATTTGCTCCTTGTGTCAGCAGTGTGCCTCCTCACAAGGAGTGCTTGTATTGATTGTACTGTTAATGTGGGGTACTGAGGAATGGCTCCTAAGTCAGAACAGTCAATATAAGCAGCACCCAGTGTCTGAATTGACACTGCACTGAGCTCTCCACATGGACCTTGACTCTACATTGCTCTCTAGAGATAGAGTTAAGTCAATGCAGTGGGACAATTACATCCACAGGAGAAACAGAAGCGTCAACATTTCAGTAGTTACATTGACTTAAACTGCCTTGTGTTGACCTCTCTGTAAACCTCAGAGTGCCACTGCTAAATGCAAGATGGAAGAGACTGTTTAGCATAAGTTGTTAACTCATATTTCAAGAGACTAGTCAAGACAAATGGAGGGAGGAAAGGGCAGGGGAAGCAACTGAGAGGAGGGGCTGTTAGTGGTTTATAAATGGTCAAAATAAGCCATAATGCAATGCCTTGAATCAGTCCATGGTTTTTAGTATCTTGCAATTCTACTGGTAACAATTAAAGTAGTATCTCTCCAGCACTAACAAAGATAAAAAAAGCACTAAAGACTTTAAAATGAGCAGACAATATATATTTTACATAGCACTTGTCATGTTTTAATTTCAATGAGTATTTAACATGAACTCTAGAAAGTCTATATTATTCTTTGCCCATTCCATCACTCCTAAACCTTTTTTCTTTTTTTCAGGGAGAGAGGGGGAAAATTGGAACCTCAGAATTAGTTTTTATATAAAGGAGGCCCTGGTTCATATTTTAATTGACTGTTTATTATGCTTCTGTTTTATGATGGGTCTTCTAGAGTGCCAGCAAGACAGGTGCATTGAACACAAAACTATGCATCACAACTCTGAAACAGAATGCTTTTAACACTAACAGATCCACTTACCCTTTCATTTGAAACACTTAATTCCAGAAAAGCAAGATAGCTGATAAATTCCCCAAAAACCAGAAGGTTGGACAGGTTATTTCAAGAGCCTACATTAGAATGATCAGACATCTATTTACTTTAGGAATGTATGTAGTACTAACCTCATGTGTATATTGTGCTTTGTAGGTGACTGCAATAATTTCCAACTCACTATTTTCATTACCTATGTTTTCTGGTATCTCATGTCTCAGGCAGTGTTTTTCAAATTGTAGGGCACTACCTAAAAGCGGGTTGCAAGAATGCAGCAAAGGGTCACAGCCACCCAATTCTCACTGCCCAGCGCTAACAGCCCAAAACCCTGCCACCAAGGGCTGAAGTCATGCAAGTCACACAAAAACCACATAATCGGTGATCTCCATAACCCACTGTATGGCCTTACAAATTAGCCAATTGAATGCAAGGTGGGAAGAGTTATGGGAATAGTGCTATACAGAGTTTCAAGTCAAGAGTGTCTATATTAATCATGAAGTGAATCTTTAATTAAATGGATATTTTTTGAAACTCTTCTGTTTCAGCTGCAAGTACCAATGATAATAAGATTCATCAAAATCTGAGAAGAAAAAGTAATCATAAGTACAACTCTTCTTTCTTAAAGTTTGGGTTTTCATTTACTGAGGGGAACATAGGCTACAGTGTGTCATCTGCAGTAAACCCTTAAGCAAATGAAAAACTAAAACCAAACATATGGTAGGCATTTGGAGACAAAACACTAACTATAACAAGACATTTGATTTTTTTAAATGAAAAAAGAAGAAATTTAAAAATATCACCAAAAATCTGACCATGTATTTACTCTCTTAACAAACATTGCATTCCCCTCAGCTTGTTACACACCACACTGTCACAAGATAGTTAAACTTTAGTTTCTGCTATTGATATGTGCACTAATTGTTCCACAAGTCATTGGACGAAAAAAACAAAAAAAGAAGCAGCAATCCTTCTCTCCAACAATACAATATGGAGAAGAATCTGAGATCTCAGACTATACAACTATAGACTTTCATTACACAACTGTTTTGCTTTACAATTCAATTAATCTAAAGATGTATCTAACTGCTGGTTTATGTAAGGCGTGTATTGAAAAGTGATTTGAAATAACACCTGTTTAATGTGGATTTGCCTATTTCTTCTACTGCTGCTGCTGATGTATTGGTTGCACTGGATAATTACTTGGAGTTGGAGAGATTAAGCTGGTTGAAGTATGTTGGTGTTTCAACTGATGGAGCCATTTCAATAACAGGAAAATATTCAGGAGTTGCTCAAAGAATCCTTTTGAAAGCCCACATTGCAACATGGAACTTTCCTAAACAGGGAGGCATTGGCAGCTAGAGACAAAGCATCTTAGCTTCTCAAAAAACTCTTAAAAATGCTGTCAAAATTGTGAAGTACGTCAAATAAAATGCCAAGAATACATGATGCTTTCAAGTTTTGTCAGAAAATGGGCAGTGCACATGTACATCTGCTTTACCATGCTGATGTTTGCTGGCTGTCCCATGGCAAAGTGTTCTCATATATACAAACTTAAAGATGAGTTAGCAACTTTTCTTGAAGAAAAAAGCCTCACCTGACAGAGCACTTCAGTGGCTTGTTCATGTTGCAGATCTGGCAGATATAGTCAACCATCTGAATAATGTGAATCTGTCTTTACAAGGCAGAAGGCACAATCGCTTTGAACTGACAAAACTGCTATTTCAAATGATAGGATGGGCATGTTCTATGACGTGTCTAGAAACAAAATATCTGAAAGATTCCACCACCAAGGAAGAATTACTTTCCAGACGAACAATTTAAAGGCAAGAATGGATAAGGGATCTGTTTGGAATTGTGTTAGAAAACATGGCTCTACCTAGGAAGAATCTCAGCTGGTTGAGAAAATACACTGAAATGCGCTTTCCCCAGTTTTGGTGCAGTGCTGCTACTGGACAATGTCCTGCTCTACTTGCCATGCTATTAGTGTTTACTTGCCTTTCATTACCACATACACGACCTTCAGATCGTACTGACTAGAATTGCAACAAACTTTGATAACTTGAAGAGAAACAACCTTGGGTTTCTCATTAGGTGGAAACTAGGATTTAATGTGTTCCTGTTGATGTTGATTTCTGCCCATAATTTTCTGACTATTACGCTGCTTTAACTTATAACTTTTATTATTTTTGTTATTGTTACATGCAGCAGGTAATGGGTATTCAGGGAGCAAAATATGTTTGTTTTATACTTACCAGGAATGCTATGGATTGGGACTGGCTATCAATGTTTACAAATGGATCCTGGCCCAAAAAAGATTGAGAACCACTAGTCCAGAGCCCAATGAAATAATTATATATACACCTGGGCCTGCAGAGTCTGAATTTTAGTTTATCTGAACCACCATACTTTGAATATTATAAAGGCAAGTAATTTTAATAAACAGTTTTAATTTCATAAAATAAATTAAGTTTGAGACTCCTATTTCCTAACAAAAATAGAAGCTGTTTGTAACCAATACAAAAGTTAAATTAAATATAGTTAAATTAAAAAGTTAAGCTTAAATATAGTTCAAAGGCAAAGATGCCATTTTATCATTCCTCAATAAAATTAAAAGATTTGTAGTTTTAGAAAGAAGAGAAATATGTACCTTATAACAATATCAAACTGATTCAGCACATGGCCCAGTTCCAATCCATGAAGTAATCCACCACTTCCCACAACAACACAACGCTTACAGTGTTGAGACTTCAAGTTCTCTGGCAAGTCATGTTCAGGTAAGAGTTTTAAGAGGTTCTGAAGTTTATCAGAGTTCTTGTGAAATCCAAATGGGGGCTCATATTTAAATACATCTTCATGTCTCTTTATATCTTCTCTTACAAAGGGAAATACATTTGCGCTGTACTTCTCAGCAAATAATCTCTCCATTTCCTTCTTCACAAAAGAAGGTCGACATTCTCTTTGCCATACGAGTTTGGCATATTTGTGTGCTCTCTGAAACAAGAATGCATATAAAATTTAAGTCATACAAGCTATATATGTCATTATTACAAATATAGCATAACTAGTCTGAAACAAACTTCCATGAGACCAAACGTACATCTGTAAATTAACAGATATAGGTTTTAGATGAGAAAGACAAACCAAGGTGAACTTCCAACTTTGGAAAATTTCAAAGAAGTCAGTTAAAAGAAGGAGCTGCCTGTTTGTGTTGTTATTCTGAGCGAAGATTTCAGAGTAAAACTTATATCCTTCAGGTGGAACATTTCCTTAGGAATAACTCAGAATGTAAGTGTAGTCAGAAAGAATACTATAAAAATGGTACCTTTTACAAAGACTGTCTGCTTCCTGAATACTTTCAAGTAATAATTGGTTATTTTTGTTCATGGACAACACAGCTATGGAAAAGGAAGATTATTTTTGTTCTGTCTCATCCATCAGTAACAAATTTGACAGCTAAACTTTGACAGCAGAACCTGCACTACCAGCGACACAAGCTGGAAAGAAAAACTTTTCCACATCCAAGAAAGAGCTTGAAGCATTTTTACTTGTGAACTGATTTTTATCTAGATCGATTTCGTTTACAGACATTTTTAAAAATCCCCCTATAACCAGACTTAAAATGTTCCCCTGGAAGTAGAGGGTCTCAAGTGCTTCTTAAAATAAAGATGAATCACACACACAAAAAAAAAAAACTATGGTACCAGCCTTCAGCTGAATGTTTCCCTGCCAAACAAATGATGATCTGTCTCTTTGAACAAGATCCTCCTGCACATTTTTAGAGCGTAGAACCAGCAAATTGGGGTCTGGTACACGAAAGAATCTTAACTATAGTTCAAATGCAAAGATGCCATTTTACCACTCCTCAATAAGTTAGAAAATTTATCATAAAAACCAAGAACCACATGGTGGGAGAACAGAGGCAAATAGAAAACAAAGAGATATTTGTGGGATATGTGGGAGAGTCAGAAACGCAAGTCTGATGTTACAGAAAAGGGGAACAATGGTAAATGGAAAAAAGGGAGGTGATTTTAATTGCTACTGAAAGAACTCCACAGGTGGGCGGAACAGACCCTACAAATACCAAAAAAAAGGTTAACAGGGCCAGATATTTTAGAATTCTAAGCAAATGTTTAGAATACCAAATTCTTCCTTCTTTCCCAATGCAGGGTGAGAGTCAGCATCTTTTATGTTACAGTATAAGAAGTATACTGTTTCAGTTTTTTTGAACAATTCCCAAGCCTTAGCATTCTGCATGAACTCTTTCTTAAAATCTGACTAGTCATCCGATCTATTCTGCAACTTCCTGTGAGGTCAGCAGGCATTCCAGGCATGCAACATGCAAAATGATCAAGCCACAGAATTCTACATAGTTGCATTTTCAAACCACATCTCAGATCCATCATGGAAAATATTGTTTTTATAAACCGTTGTTTTCTTCTTCAGTTTTATTCCCAAAACCCTATAATTTTCTCTCTGTACGTCTTCCTGTCTACACAAGCATGACACACACACACACACACACACACACACACACACAGTCAGTAATATTTGCTAGATACAGATAAAAAATAGCAAACCTTTACACGTTCAGGGTCCACATAATGCATTTTCTTCATGTCACATTCTTCAGGGCCAAAACTTAACTTGAGGATATAAAGGAAGCACACCAGGACAGCAAACAGTATAACATGTCTAAAACAAACACACACCAATTACTTTAGAACAGAAGGCCACTGCCAACAGTGGAATTACTTTTATACTACTCATTTGTGAAGCTGATAAATGTGAACAAGTTGAAAAAAAAACCAAAACTGTAAAAAGCATATATAAAGTGCAAACTATATTGACATACTGCACAGTCCTACTGCTGTAAGCCACATTCTTCCTGACCCCATCAAAGCTTTTTGCAGTGAAGTATAAAAGTGGATCAATACTGTAATATGGAGACTGATGCTCAAGGATGCTTCTTTGGTTTTGTAGTGTGGTTCTGTATTACTTTAAATTAAATAGCCTTGATGTGTCCTGCATCAAATGTGACTACATCAATAGGCTGTTCTCTCTAAATTTAGGGACAACACAAACGTTACCCATGTCAAGAATGTAGTTGCAAACTGGATGTTCAGTATCAAAAATACAGTACTTAATATTTTGATGCTGAAAGCCCCATTTATAAATTTCAGAGCATTAAACCCACACTCTGGTGTTCAAACCACCACTTTGATGCTGCCAAGTCTATTTTGGTTACTTAGAAGGCCACAGAACAGCATTTATAATCCCAAATTTAAAGATACCCAGATACCTAAATGTCTGCCACACATTAAAGAGCAGACATTCCTAGAATTATTTTAATATGAGTTTTTCCTCAGTAGTTTGTGCCTGTAAAGGGGTATGTGAACACTGAATATTATTACTGGGAACTTCTACTTTAATAACGTAAGTCATATAGCTACTGATCAGCTGAACACTTATCTTACTTAGATGGAGTGTTAGAATACACTATATATTTGTTTGAAAGTATTTTAAACAGTAGTTTTTATCTTTTCGTTCCACCTTTAATTTGGGGTGTAGGAAAGAGTAAATATAAAGTTTTAATATTAAAACAGTTATTACAGATAATGACTGTTAGCCCTTAAAAAAAAAAAAAAAAAACCAACAACAACAAAAAAAACACCACCTCTGATTTTTCCACTCTTCCAGTGCTAGCTCCCATAATGGGAACTACATTATTCCCTAATTCTGAAAGGGACTGAAATAAACTATGACGAGCAAATGTTTATAATCCCAAATTTAAAGACACCCAAACATATAATGGCAGTCTAACTGCAGATCATAGATGCAACAGAGCCAGACCTGAAGGCAACACATATGGAGGCAGGCATACAGTGTGACTATGGTTCAGACCACGATATGGTCCAGGATAGGAATGTTAAATATTGGTTAATCGAATAGTCGATTAACCTCATGAAATTCTTATCAGTTACTCGACTATTCTATAGTCCCCAGGGATGGGACCAGCAACCAGTGTGCTCCGGCCCCATTTCCAAGTTAAAAAACCAGCTCCCCTTGCAAACCAGCTGCTTGTCACCCTACCTGTCCGGGAGGAGTGTGGGGGTGAGGGGGCTGAGCTCCCAGACCCAGTGCAAGCTGGAGCGGAGCTGGGCTGCCTGCCTGCCTGCCTAGCTACTAATACACTTTAAATGCAGAGTCACAGTGGGGGTAGATCCCAGACCCAGCATGAGCCAGGGCTAAACCAGGCTGCTGGCCAGTCTGCTAAGAAATTTACTGGCAATGGGGAAGGGGAGGGAAATGAGTGTAGTCTGTAGCATTAACCTATAAGCTTTTGTTTATTGGTTAATCGACTACACTATAAAATCCCTAGTTACCACAGCTCCCAGGAAGTGGCTGTGAGGTCCCTGTGGCCCTCTCCAGCCTTTGACAAACAGAGGCCAAGGACACCATTTTATCCCCTGGCTAATAGCCTTTTATGGACCTAACCTCCATGAAATTATCTAGCTTCTCTTTAAACTCTATTATAGTCCTAGCCTTCACAGCCTCCTCTGGCAAGGAGTTCCACAGGTTGACTACACGCTGTGTGAAGAACTTTCTTTTATTGGTTTTAAACCTGCTACCCATTAATTTCATTTGGTGTCCTCTAGTTCTTCTAATATGGGAACTAATAAATAACTTTTCTTTATTCGCCCTCTCCACATTGCTCATAATTTTATATACCTCTATCACATCCCCCCCTCAGTCTCCTCTTTTCTAAACTGAGAAGTCCCAGTCGCTTTAACCTCTCTTCATATAGGACCCATTCCAAACCCCTAACCATTTTAGTTGCCCTTTTCTGAACCCTTTCCAAGGCCAAAATATATTTTTGAAGTGAGGAGACCACATTTGTATACAGTATTCAAGATGTGGGCGTACCATAGTTTTATACAGGGGCAGTAAGATATTCTGTAGTCTATAGCAGGGGTCAGCAACCTTTCCAAAGTGGTGTGCCAAGATTTAACCCTCCTGCCCTCTGGGGAGAGGTGCAGGGGCTCTCTCCACCATGGCCCCCGGACCACCTGGGTCAATGCAAAAACTTTCCACGGACTACCAATTGCTAATAGAAACTCATGGTTAATTACATAATTATGCCCAAGCCATTTTGCTAGGGCTGCAACTCGGCAGAACAGTTTAATTTAAATTAACAGATTGAGCATTTTCATTTTAAATAAACTAAGTAAAATATTATGTCTAACACAAAAGGTTTCAATGTTTTCTTTATTTATGGCAGGGATGAGAATCTTTTTGGGTCAGGGGTCACAGTTACTAAAGTTACAGGCTAAAATGTTTACCCCCTGAGACTAATAGCCTGATTTGTCATGTTAAAACACAGTACCAAAAATAATGGAGGTGTCCTTAGGCACCTTAAAGGCGAACAGATTTATTTGGACATAAGCTTTCATGGGTCAAAACCACTTCAGCAGATGCATGGTCAATGAAGTGCATCTGACAAAATAGATTTACCCACAAAAGCTTATGTTCTAATAAATGTTTTTAAAGTACCCCAAGACTCCTTGTTGTTTTTACAGATACAAATTAATACGGCTACCTCTTTAAGACTTAATACCAAAAAATAGTCAGCAAAAGGCTTTTTGGTCACTGATGCCCTAGAAACAGGCAGATGCCAAAGAATAAAAATATTTTAAAATTGACTGTTACAAATGCATATTGTTCTTGTTAATTTGAATGATTCCTTGTTATGAGGAAATCTGGCTGCTGCTTTTGAGCGTTAGTTGTTCATTTATTCCTATGGAATAATAGCCAACTATAACAATTTATGGATTTTTAAACTCAATAAATCACTATTAATGATCAGTTAGAGTAGCAGAGATACCTTTTAATCAACTATAATGACCTGTATATTTGGTTTCTGCATGTCAGAAGTAAATATACACTAAGTCCAAGATTTTCACAAATAAATGACTTTTATTCTTTTGCATCTGCCTGTTTCTAGGGCATCAGTGACCAAAAAGCCTTTTGCTGACTATTTCTGGTATTAAGTCTAGGCTGTGAAGTCTGTATTAGTTACCCTACATAAATAACACCCTCACATTTTTAGAAGTCCCGAGCACCCGCTCCCACTTATTTAACTATCTTTGACAAACTTAGTCTGTGCCAAGCAGACATCTATGTTAATAACTTCTCTCTGAAAAGGTGGATTTGCTAATCCACACTCTAGTAAATCATAACTCTGATAGTTTCACTATATTTCAAAAAGATACAATGGCCCATTCTGTAATGATATATCTTAATACAAAGATATATTTGTATTTTATATAATTTAACATTTATATTAACGTACTACTAGCTATGAAGTATTATCAAATTAGAGCTAACTGCAAGAGACAACTTTTATGCAGTTTTGTTAAAATGCAGTTTTGTTTAGCAAATAAATGAACAATGGGAAAAGTCAGTCATCTAACACACATTTTCGTTGTACACTATTTTTATTACACACCACACTATGCAAGTGTCTGGACAAGATGATTCATTGTACTACTAAGTTCTTATGGGGTTGGGAAAGGAGAGAGGATGTGGGCTATGTTCATTATATATAGAGAGACCCCGGTTTCTTCAAAAAGTGACACTGGCAGCCAATGTCCAGTGGATCTCAATGTGATTGAATGCTTAATTCCCTTTGGCAGAGGTGATACTTCAGTATCTGCATCTTCAAATATGTTTGTGTAAACAGCAATTTCAATCTAAGTTACCATGATAGAGACGCACTTACTTGAGAGTACCTTTTAAAAACCAGCCTGGTCTTTTCATCTTCATGTGTGACCAGCTTATACCATTGCACAGAAGGGGAGTGAACACTTTTCAAGTTCATACAATTATCTTCATCACTCAGCATTGCTGAAAAAGAAAAACACACACACACACACTTTAAATAATAATCTTGTTGCTATGCATGCAAAGAAGCTACTGAAGGCATCCAATTACTATGAGCAATTAAAGTGGAACATTTCTTGGAATAGATCTTGGTTTTGTTTACTCTGGTGTCAATGGTGAATCGCAGTTTAAATTTTTGTATTGTGGAGAGCCACTTCTCATCCCAATAGGTTGCAATCGACAAACAAATTAATCCCAACCAATATACTGCTAGGACGCAATTCTAGAAATATACCAGTATTACTATTTACATAGTATAGATTTCATGTGAATTTAAATCATAAGTAAATGCAACATTTTGAACTATACAAATTACACAGAAGTTGTATAAAGAAACCACAGAACACAATAACTGACTACACACACACACACACCCACCCCCACCACTACCCCAGATGTCCTATCTTCCACATTATAATCACAGCTCAGATTGTAAACCACCCAAGACAATTGTATCTCTAAATTCTATTCAGTATCATAGACACCTATGACAATAAGATATTTCAAGCAGGGAGTCTCTGCAGAGACAAGGCAGGTGTGATTATTAAAAAGACCAAGTTGCAAAAAGAATGTCTAAACAGACGTTAAACCAAAACACAGGGTTCAATGAATGTATTAGAAAGGTTATCTAAAATACAAGATAAATATTTTCCAAGAGCATACTAACAGTTAACTTGATCAGTCTATATAGGAAGGATATTTGTGATCATTACAGACTCCTTAAATCTAGCAGAAAAGAAGCCCTGGGCCATCCCAAATCTTTACACCAGTGTTTCCCAACCAGGGTTCTGCAGAACCATCGTCGGGTTCCACGAGAAATCGTGGAATAAATAAAAATTTTGAAATATCACAAACAATTCCAAATCTCTTGAAATATCGCGGGAATTTTTGTCCAGCAATTGGCAACACTGGAGTAATCTTCATACGCTACCAACTGCCTCTGGGTTTTTTTTGGTCAGTTCGTATCTAAGATTATATTTAGTTGTATTGTGCCTGTCCTCCTGCTTCCCAGAATTCTCCACGTTTCTACTCTTAGTGCACATTACGGTCATTCACTATTTTGTAGATTTGTAGTCTTTGCACTGTTTTGTAATTAACGTTTTTACTGAAACTGATTGTTTTCATGTATCTAAAATCTCACCTATGTAACAGTATTTTTATATGGCCGTCAAAAAATTTTTTAAAATGTGGAATTATATGAAAAGAAGGCGCGTCAGTGAAGGAGAGGACAGTGAAAATTAATCAAAATTATCAGAGCCAAGTACGAATGAAACAAGAGGAGAAGTGACTGATATTTTAAAAAATTCACCTTTACAATGACACTTACTTGGCCATAGGTTTTACATGGACTGGAGACAAAAATCGCCCTGTTCCATTGTGCATTGTTTGCAGGGAAAAACTAACACACACAGCTATGGCCCTGGCCAAGTTAAATTGACACTTCACTACTAATCACGGCCACTTGTCAAATAAAACAGTGATAACTTTCAACGACTTTTGGATTCACAAGGAAAACAACGTAAAGTTTTTGAGAAGCAGGTAACGATCAGTGAAAAGACTCAAGAAGCAAGCTATTTAGTAGCTGAGCTAGTTGCACAAAAAATGAAAAGTCACACTATTGCTGAAAGCCTAATAATGCCTGCTTGTAAAATAATAGTGAGTACAATGATTGTCAATTTCACTTTCAGTCTCTTTGCCTAGGTTCCTGTTTCTAATACTACTATTAGTAGGTGTGTGGATGACATTGAAAATGTCTTGTCTAAAATACTAAAAAAAAAAATACTAACTTTGCTCTCCGCGTCGACGAGCCAACAGACATAACAAGTAAAGCTCAGCTGTTAATATGCGTACGATTTGAAAATGAAGGTGAAAAAAAATGGAAAATTTTTGTTGTTGTAAAGAGCTTCCAGAAACGACCAAAGGTCAAGACATTTTCAACATCTTGTCTTCTTATCTGGAATCCTGTGGTTTGTCATGGAGCCAGTGTATTGGAATTTGCACTGATGGTGCCCCCTCAATGATCAGCTCAATAAAAGGCTGTGTTACACTCACCAAAGAAAAAAACCCTTATGTCATAATGACCCACTGCTTCCTTAACCGGGAAGTTCTTGTTTCAAAAACTATTGGGGAGGATTTAAAACAAGTCCTTGATGTAGCTGCGAACATGGTCAATTTTATAAAACAGCACCCTCTTAAGTCATGTATGTTTGCAAAGCTGTGCGAAAATATGCAAGAAGATCATGTGACTCTCCTTCTACACACCGATGTTAGATGGCTTTCAAGAGGGAAAGTTTTAACAAGGGTATTTGAGCTGCGAGGGGAACTACTGCTTTTCTTCAAAGATAATAAAGCCAGTTTTTCTGACTTTCTTGAAGATACAAAATGGCTGCTGAAACTAGCCTCCTTAGCAGATATGTATTAGCACTTAAACACCACCATGCAGGGCCCAAAAGAAAACATTCTAACTTCCACAGACAAACTTCTTGCATTCAAGAATAAACTCAAGGTTTGGAAAAGACACCTTTCAAGTGGAAATACTGAAATTATTAAGAGCAACAAGAATGATTAAAGGTCTAGAAAACACAACCTATGAAGGAAGACTGAAAGACTTGGGTTTGTTTAGTTTAGAAAAAAGAGAAGATTGAGAGGGGACATGATAACAGTTTTCAGGTATCTAAAAGGGTGTCCACAAGGACGACACAGAAAATTTGTTCTTCCGTTGGCTTGCCAATTCTCAGCTAGAATAATGAAATCCTATGAAGCTAAATAGAAGGAGAAATCTCAAATCCAAATACTGACCTTTCCATCAGAAAACAGCTGACACATTTTGTTTTAATCAGGTGCTTTTGTTTTAAGGCCTTTTTGAGAGCGTCTTGATATCTGATACAATTTTACATCATGGGTTATTTTCATTTCACCCTTTAGAACACTTTAAGAAGATTCCATGGCAGTTGGAAGGTTGAAGGAGGAGGAGAAACTCCGGTGGTACAAATAGGCTCAGGAGAATGAGGGGAACCCCATGTTTGAACTTCACATTTTGATCTTTTATTTGGAGGCCACCAAAAAATCTTCACCTGTCGTGGAACCTGGGTGGATGCAACTGCTAGAAGCTAAGAGTTTTTAGTGGACTCTAACATGCTATAGGACCACTTGTTTTCTTAAGTTTAACCACCGCAGAGTACATAAACCCAAAACTCAATCTGAACCAAAAACTTTTCTCCTCGAAGTAGCAAATCATAATATTGGGTCCACCAACAGGTGGAAGGAATTGTACAAACTGAAAGACTTACAAATGTGGATTTAAAGTGGAATGAGAGGACAAGACAGTCTCAAAAACATTGATAAGATCACTAAGTGAAAATTTTGTATGAAGAAATGGATTCCAGTCAAAGATGCTACCAGTATAATTTTTTTCTTTCCTTGCTATAATTCTATACTAGACTTTATTATTTTACTTACTATTTCAGTGAAGTTTGGTGTTTCTATTATTCTACCAAATCAAAGCATTATTAATAATGCACTCTAGATTCTTGTGTATGTTTTGCTGTTTATTTTAGGAAAAATCCTCCCCCTAAACACAGAGGGATTTCCATTTTTCTTCTCTTTAAATTACCCCAAATTTTCACAAACATGGAACTTTCTACAGTTCAGATCTGGACTAAATTCTCTGCATGATTTAAGCTATATTTACACAATGTACACTCACCAACAGTCCACTAAAAACTCTTAGCTTCTAGCAGTTGCATCCACCCAGGTTCCACGACAGGTGAAGATTTTTTGGTGGCCTCCAAATAAAAGATCAAAATGTGAAGTTCAAACATGGGGTTCCCCTCATTCTCCTGAGCCTATTTGTACCACCGGAGTTTCTCCTCCTCCTTCAACCTTCCAACTGCCATGGAATCTTCTTAAAGTGTTCTAAAGGGTGAAATGAAAATAACCCATGATGTAAAATTGTATCAGATATCAAGACGCTCTCAAAAAGGCCTTAAAACAAAAGCACCTGATTAAAACAAAATGTGTCAGCTGTTTTCTGATGGAAAGGTCAGTATTTGGATTTGAGATTTCTCCTTCTATTTAGCTTCATAGGATTTCATTATTCTAGCTGAGAATTGGCAAGCCAACTATACCAGTTAATATCTGAATGGTATTAAAAACAGTTCCTTTTCTTGGTAATGAATTTATTTTGTTCAATGTTAGAGCCATGTCTGAATTTCGCAAGTTCCATTTTTTTTTTCCAGCCAAGGAGTGTTCTACATTACACCTGAATTATGCAGTAGAACACCACTGAAAAAGCAGGAAACTGGTAATTATGAAATTGTGTTAATAGTTCAATGGAATTTACACAACCATATCATCTAATGCTCCATGACATGATAGCAAAAGTTACGCTTATACTTAAACAACTGGTGGCTACAAAGAATTTCCTAGACCAAGATGGGCCTAACAGAAATTTGTAATAAGATGGAGGAAACAATTCGAGTTTCAACTTCAGGAGTTCTCTCTTTGAAATTAATGGGATTTAACTTCAAATTCATATTCATATTCATTTGTGAGAGACGTGAAAATGCCGCGAAAAAGTAACACTGAGGAATAGCAATTTTATTAATACTGTTTCTAGACTTATCAATGAAGGGAATATTGTACACTAGGTAAAAACTTTCATATATGAATGCACTCATCTAGGTGCTGTGGGAAAAATTAACAGAAAAAAGCAACACAATGGCTTTCCACATAAGAGCATCCAGAAACACACACAAAAGACAAGGAGAAAAATTGAAGGAGCCAGGCCCTCCCAGAGATAGCGAATCATAGAAATGTAGGGCTGGATGAAACTGAGAAATCATTAAGTCCAACTCCATTTGCTGAGTCGAGACCAAACACACACAAAAGACAAGGAGAAAAATTGTTCGCTTTCAGGGTCTAATATTCTGTCTCCAACAAGTTATAAGCCTTGTATGGCCAAATCTGTCTGCCTGGGTATCAAGAGAAGACTGAACAGTTTAAAAAAGGTTCTCAGGAGAAGAGAGATCTACTGTCAGAAGCAGTTAGGGAGATAGGCAAACCCAGGGAAACACTCTGCAGAGGGAGTTTGAAGGAGCCAGGCCCTCCCAGAGATAGCGAATCACAGAAATGTAGGGCTGGATGAAACTGAGAAATCATTAAGTCCAACTCCATTTGCTGAGTCAAGACCAAATAAATCTAGACCACCCCTGACAAGTGTTTGTCCAAATTACTAAAAACTTCCAATAATCAGTATTCCATAACCTCCCTTGGAAACCTATTCCAGACCTTAATTGTCCTTGTACTCTGGAAATTTTTCATGATATCTAACTTAAATTTCCCTTGCTGCAGTTCAAGTCCGTTACTTCTTGTCCTATATTCAATGGATAAGTAGAACAATTAATCACAGTCTTCTTTAGACTACCACTTAATGTATCTGATGACTTTCCTGGTTCTCTCCTCAATCGTCTTTTCTCAATACCGTGTTTTTAACCTTTCCTCATAGGTCAGGTTTTCTAAACCTTTTCTCCTTTTTGTTAGTCTCCTCTAGACTCCCTCTAATTTGTCCACACTTTAGGGGGAGGAAAAAAAAACACACCCTTTTTCAAAAGAACCGCGTCTAGATTGCTTTTTACCCTCTCCCCAAAGTTTGGAGACCCCTGGTCTAGACGCACCCATAGAGTCCTGCGAGCCTCTTGCAATGGAACTCTGTTAAGATCACGCTCACTTTATAGAAATGTCATCTAAACCCCATTTTCCTATGTTGTATATGAGAAAGTTATATGGAACTGTATCAAAAGCCTTAGTTAAAATCAAGATACATCCCCTCTAACTACTTCTATGCACTAGGCCAATAACCCTAAAAAAGTAGTAAATGAGACTTATTAGGCATATTTTATTCTTGATAAAGCCACACTGGCTATTTTTAACCTCACTAACTTTCAGGTGTTAATTTGTTTAATCATCATTCCAGTATCTTTCCAGACACTTAAATTGGACTGACTGGTCTATTATTCCATAGGTGTTTGTTCCTCTTAAAAGTTAGATACTGTGTTTTCCCATCCCCAGTCCTCTGTAAGGTCAGTGCATGCTTGTATGCTGTCTGGAAAATTGATGACACCCAGCCTTTCCCTGGATTTCATTTACACCAGGTTGGGATAGAGGGTTGTGGTTCAGGGGGAGTATAGGCTCTGGTCTTGGGCCAAGAGGTTCAGAGTGTGGGAGGGCCTCTGAGACAGGCAGAGGGGTTCAGGATGGAACTCAGGATGCAGACTTCGGGAGGGAGTTTGGGTGCAGGGTGGGCTCAGCGTTGGGGCAGTGTATTGGTGTGCAGGAGGGGGTTCAGGACTAGGACTGGGATTCCGAATGAAGGATCCATCCAGGCACCGCTTACCTCAGGCAGTTCCTAGTCAGTGGCACAATAGGGCTAAGGCAGGCTCACACCTGCCCTGTGCCACACCCAAAAGTGGCTGGCATGTTCAGCAGCAGCTACTGAAAGCAGGATCAGGTGGCACATATGCTGCATCCTGTCCACAGCCATCGCCCCCGTAACCCCCCCCGGCCGTGGCTCCTATTCCCAGCTAACGGGAGCTTTGGGGGCAGTGCCTGCTAGCAGCGATAGTGTGTGGAGACCCCCTCCCCCTCTCCCAGGGGCCACAGAAACATACTGAATGCTTCCAGGAGTGACAGTGCCAGGGCAGGGGCGGAGCCTGCCTTATCCCCACTGGCTTCTAACAGTCCAGCAGCACAATCTCCCACTTTGGCTGCAGGACTCTCCAGGCTTGCAACAGATCCGGGATCTACCTCTGCTGCAGCTCTGCATTTAAAGTGTATTAGGAGCCGGGTGGGCAGGCAGCATGGCTCAATTCCAGATCACGCTGGATCCAGGAGCTCAGATCCACCCCCAGATAGGGGCTGCTGCCATCCCAGGCTGCTGCATCTTTATCAGAAGCAGCAGCACAGGGCGACAGGCAGCTGGTCCGGGAGGGGAGCAGGTTTTTAAATGGGCTCCCCTTGTGGATCAGCTCCCACCTGCCACCCTCTGCTGCAGCATGGAGTGGCAGAGGGCTCCCTCAGGAGTGAGGCTGCCAGCCCTGCCCCTGGTGATTATAGAATAGTCGACTAACCGGTAAGAATTAATGATGTTACTTGACTGTTCAATTAACCGATATTTAACAACCCTACTATATACTATGGTAGGCCGTCTCATCATACTATTCTCTCAAGCTCAGTCTTGAAGCCAGTTAGGATTTTTTTGCCACTACTGCTTTCAATGTGACTCGCTATAGTCTCCACTTTATCCAGGCCATCATCCACCTTTCAATTCTCATATTAATCATTAATCTTCTCCAACTGGACTAATAATTTACCATATGGAATTGTATCAAATGACTTACTGAAATCCAGGTATATTAGATCTAGTACATTTCTTTGGTCTAAAAAAACCAATTGTATTATCTACAAAGCAGATCATGCTGGAGTGGCACAATATACATATTATAAACCTATATTGTATTTTATCCCAATTCTTATTTACAGTAAAACTCCAATTGTCCAGCATCCAGTGGTCCAGCACTCCCAATAGTCTGGCACCAACTGGAACCCGGAAGTGCTCCGGCCAGCCGGACAATTGGAGTTGCTTGCATGCTTTCCCAAGTCCACTGCTGCCGCTGCTGAAACTGACCAGCACTAGGAGTAACGGTAGTTCGAATTAGGAGCTTTAATTCAAACTACCTAGTCTGTGCCACATGTAGCAGCAGGCAGGTAGTTCAAACTACCTGCCATTTAAAAATGGCGGCGCCTGGGAATATGCAAATAAAGCCTGGGATATTTAAATCCCGGGCTTCATTTGCAAGTTCGAATGCCTACATTAGCCACCCTAGTTCGAACTAGGGTGGCAGTTTTGGCCTTCCCTGAAAGAGAGGGAGGGAATAGCTTTCGTCTGGCCCACGAAAGCTCATCACCTATTAAACCATTTTGTTAGTCTCTAAAGTGCTACAGGTCTGCTCATTCTTCGGTACAGGTTATCTATGTTCCTTCCCCATTTAATCCTATTAAGCTATTTGAGTTTGACTCTCCCTCCCCCAGATGTGGTCATTTTTTACTTCCATATTCTTATTCCACTAGCCACCCTGCCTCTGCTCCTAAACTCTACACTAGCCTTATTAAAAATTGAAACAAAGTATTGATTTAGCTGTTAAGACATGCCTACATTATCTTTCATCTCCACCCCTTTATAAGGGCTATGGGGCCCCACTTCTTTCCATTATTATAAATTTTTTTACTGTTAGTTTTAATTTCCTTTGAAAGGTCCAACTCTGCTTGGCTTCTGGCAGTTCTCACTTTTTCCTCTATACTTTCTGACCTCCAAGAGATAGATTTCCTTGATGATCCTTCCCATCTTCCATTCCTTATAGATTCGTGTTAAGCTTGCAGCGCACTTTGAAATACCAGCATTATCCTATATAATGCTTATCTTATCAAGAGGTTAAATGGATACAAAGTACAATGTCCAGGCTAAAACACCCTCATCCAGCTTCAGCAAAGATCCAATAATGAGCAGTTACATAACATTTTGTATTATAGTGTATAATAAAAAGCAAGGTTTTCTAGGGGCTTCTTCGACAGAGCTTTTCCCTTATATCACACAGTTCTCCACAGCTGGGAAAATCTTATAAAAATTGAAAAAAAATACTTAACACACATAATTTTGCATGATTTAAATTGATAAAAATAAAAAAATGCTTAAAAATAAACATTGATAATGTCCATCCCAATCACACAAAAAATTTTCCAAGCCTATCTGTCTTGAAAGTTCCCAAAACAAATAGTAAGAAGTCAGTATAAAAGGTGGAATAGACACAATGAAATTCAAAGGAAGCAGCTT